CAATTTTCATCTTTCAGGCTGAATGTGTTCTTATGTATATGGTACTTTTTTGACCAAATTTCAGCCTGAGCGTTCTTAATCCACTTGTTCTTTTATGCGGGTTTTTACTGTATTCTCTTAAGCCATTTCTTAACTAAGTCAGAAACCCTTACCACTACAATCCCGTCTCACTTCCACTAGGTTTGCGGAAACGAGTTGAATAGTAATACATATAGTTCCTCACGCCTTCACTGACAAATGAAGTCAAAGACGAATGCAATTGCAACTGTAATTTTCATTTAGTCCTGACAGAAGTGTTTGACATGAACAACATGGACGAAGTTCTACAAGCCATCTCTATCGGCCTCATAGTTGCTTGCTTCCTTCTCAACACCAATCGAGCTCTAAAGAGCATCGAAATATGCAAGGAATGCTTGGTCATAGTGAAACACAAAGCAGGAATCAAAGACGATAAACTAGCCATATTATTCTACAAGAGGTTGTATTTGATGTTGTCGAAGGCTTATTGTGCAGTCAACAACAACAAAAATGCCATAAAATATGCAGAAAAAATTCTCGAGATTTACCGTGATAGTGGAGAAAGACTTGCAGAATATGATCTAAGCTTCGATCTAGGAAAAATGTATTTGCGTCAAAGCAAATACGAAGAAGCAAGAAAACTCTACGAGAAAGCCCTACTAATCAGTACAGAAATCGGCGGCAAAAAGGCAGAAGCTTCCTGTTACGGAAATCTTGGAAAGGTGTATCAATCACTAGGCGAGTATCATAAAGCACGAGAAAATGTTGAGAAATCACTTGTGATCGCAAAAGAAATTGGTGACAGAAATGGAGAAGCCGCCTGTTACGTAGATCTTGGAGCTGTGTATGAAGCAGTTGGCGAGTATCACAAGGCGAGAGAACATCTTGAGAAATCACTTGTGATCAGAAAAGAAATAGGTAACAGAAATGGAGAAGCCGTCTGTTACGGAAATCTTGGAGCTGTGTATGAATCAGTTGGCGAGTATGACAAGGCGAGAGAACATCTTGAGAAATCACTTGTGATCACAAAAGAAATCGGTGACAGAAATGGAGAGGCCGCCTGTTACGGAAACCTTGGAGTTGTGTATCAATCAGTTGGCGAGTATGACAAGGCGAGAGAACATCTTGAGAAATCACTTATGATCAGAAAAGAAATCGGTCACAGAAATGGAGAAGCCGCCTGCTACGGAAACCTTGGAGTTGTGTATCAATCAGTTGGCGAGTATGACAAGGCGAGAGAACATCAGGAGAAATCACTTGTGATCACAAAAGAAANAAATCTTGGAACTGTGTATGAATCAGTTGGCGAGTATGACAAGGCGAGAGAACATCTTGAGAAATCACTTGTGATCACAAAAGAAATCGGTGACAGAAAGGGAGAAGCGGCCTGTTACGGAATCCTTGGAGCTGTGTATGAATCAGTTGGCGAGTATGAAAAGGCTAAAGAACTTTGCGGGAAATCGCTTGCGATTCGAAAAAGAATCGGTGACCGAGATGGAGAAGCTGCCTGTTACGGAAACCTTGGACATGTGTATCGATTAGTTGGCGAGTATGACATGGCTAGAAAACATCTCGAAAAATCACTTGCGATCGCAAAAGAAATTGGCAACAGAAATGGAGAAGCCTCCAGCTACGTAATGCTTGGTTCTCTGTATCTATCAGTTGGCGAAGAACATCCGGCTAATGAACACTTTGAGACAGCATTGCTGATCAAAAGAAAAACTGGTGACAAGAAAGGGGTAATTTCGTGTTGCAATAGACTCGCTGCTTCATTTCTCTCGCTCGGTAAATATCCCACGGCTAACACTTATAATCAGGAAGCACTTATGATCGCATCACAAATTGGACACAAGGCTGAGAAAGCCGACTCTTTATTAATGCAAGGATATATCTTGTACTCAATTGGTGANTGATCAAAAGAAAAACTGGTGACAAGAAAGGGGTAATTTCTTGTTGCAATAGACTCGCTGCTTCCTTTCACTCTCTCGGTAAATATCCCATGGCTAACAGTTATAATCAGGAAGCACTTAGGATCGCATCAGAAATTGGACACAGGGCTGAGAAAGCCGCCTCTTTATTAATGCAAGGATATATCTTGTACTCAATTGGTGGCCGTGTCAAAGCTAAAGAATATTGCGAAGAAGCAATTGCGATTAGTAAAGAAATTGGACACCGAGCAACAGAAGCCAATTGTTGCTTACTGTTAGGAAACGTTCTTTTCAAAGATGGGGAACATGTTAAGGCTGAAGAGCATTTTATGAAGTCGCTTCAGATAAGTGAGGACATTGGCGATATTTTACAGCTTTTCCAATCGCTCTACGGGCTAGCACGCTTAAGAGTGCAAGAAGGAAAGATTCAGGAAGCTATCTCGTACTTACTTGCTAGTATCGAAAAATGCGAGAAAATACGCGGCTCCATACAAGATAACGATCAATGGAAGATATCGTTCTCGGACAACAAGATTTCTCCCTACCGTAATCTCTGTACATTGCTTTGTAAATGCGAAAATCCCGAAGCAGCCTTGTATGTTTCAGAGCTTGGGAAGGCAGGGGCTTTGGCAGATCTAATGTCAGCTCAGTACTCTATGAGGAATCCAGTCTCCGCTAATCCTCAAACATGGTCCGGTATTGAAAGCATAATGGACAAAGAACTTAATTGTTCTTGTCTATACGTCTTCTATTCTTCTGACAGCATATATTTCTGGATTCTTAAAAGTAGTGGAGTCAAACATTTCCGAAAGATCAAAGGAAGTGAAGCTATCGCTCATGAAGGATTTGCCCAGAATATGGAAGACTTTTTTGCCACCAAAAGCTTCAGAAGTTTTGACATGTCACCTAAGGAGCTACGCAAGAATGTGTCTTTAAATGTCGTACAAGGGGAGTCAAAATCATACGAGGATGACAGCCATGAAGGTTTCCGAATTGGAAATGAAAGTAAAGAAAACCAAGGTCCAAAAATGAATCTTCCTCTGTGT